GGGGGGGGGGGATAGCCCCCCTGGGCCCCTCTCCTGGATCTGCCACTGGAACTAGCCTGCGTAGCTGGCGTGATTTTGGCAGGCAAGTGCGTTACGTAGTTTCTTGGATCAACGGCTTTCCCTTCGCGCTGCCAAGAAATAAAACCCCGAGCACAACAACCCTGCCAGCTACGTAGGTTAACAGCCACCAGTCCCAGAAAAGACACCAGGCACCAGTCCTATAAAAGGCAACAAGCACCAGTACTGATAAAAGGCACCAGGCACCAGTCCTATAAAAGGCGGGAAACTTGTCGCGAAACTCATGCATAGCTCTGGCTTTGATTCATGGACTTATCATTTTTCTCACATGGGAAAAAACATCGCTCTAAGTCTGAACGGCTAGACCTCATTTTCGGGGGAGGAGGGGGTACTCAACCAATATTTGTGTTTAGGTGAGCCGGTGGAGGTTTGAAACTCCGACCCTGGGGTTAGGAGAAAAAATTCCTAAAATACATACACCAGTACCTTGTTTAGGACAACCCCTCAAGTTTATTACCCTGTTTAGGAAAAACTAAAGTAGAAAATGCCCGTCGTCTTATTTTACAGCCATTTATTGGCAATTGCAATAGAGCAAATTCACGTTAAAGGCTTTTGTATACTTGGAGGACAAACAAAAGTTATCTTGCAAATCAAATCAGTCGTGGAGGCAACACCCTGTTGACAGACTCACACGAAATTATATTCCCTGTTTAGAAGATTCTAACCCGAAATTATATACCCTGTTTATAAGAGAGGGAGGTCAAAAACCATACCCTGTACGTCCAGCGGCACATCCCCAAGGTCATCCCCGTATAGGCCATATAAGGGAGTATCCCCCCCCCCCCCGAGTTTACGACAGCTTTTCAGTGAGTATATCCAAGTATGAACACATTAAATCACACCAAGAGATAATTCTCTTTTGATCACAAGTTTCACCAATTAAGCCTCTCTCTTGGGTGCGGGGTACTTGAGGGTCTCAAAAAGCATGCGGCATAGGAGCACCACTGGAGATATATGCTACGTATTCACCTTGGCCAGTCATAGCATGAAGAGAAAATTTTAAAAAGTGGTTCTAGCGCATGCAGCTGCATGTAACGTCCTCAAATTTTTTCAGTAGAATCGTTCAGAGTGAAGCTTTAGTTTACAATTGATATATATATTTTCAGAACAGCTGGCCGCTTTACGGAAATTATTCGACATTAGATTCTCAAACAAACACTGTAATTTCTCACGTGGTTACCTACTCGTCAAGATGGCTTCGAAAACTGTGACAAGGTCTAATTGCAAACTGGGTTTTTTGCACAAACTTTTGAGAAAGAACTTGCCAGGAATCTCGAGGAGAAACATTATTGCGTGCAGAGCAGACAATGAAGGGCTGCGAGAAAGACAAATAAATAACACTTCTTTTTCTTTATCCATTGAAACGACTAAGCATTAAATACAAAGCGGCAGTCATTTATAATTATGTCGTTCATTTAGACAGGCTATTGATTGTTATGCAAAATACTTACCCAGAAACCTAAAAGAAACTGCAACAAGGAGTGTATTTCATTCGGAAAAAGTTTTCCAACTGGACTATAACGGAGGAAGCTGCTTGCCAGGATCTTTGTTCTGGACATCTTGTAAGTATTGACCAACAATCTTATCTTTCCTAGTAGGAAAAGGAAAATGAAAAACTCGAATTTTTTCTCAGTAGACGTGGTAGAAAATTTTGACAGCATGTTTCGTTTATACAGCGTTCGAACAAAACTTTAGTTGGGCTTAGTGCGAGAAAATTGGCGCCAATGTATTTGGGTACTTGTGAATGATTAAGCACCGTGATTCGATGTTAAATTCACTGTTAGCGAAAGAAAACAGAGAAACCTCTTTCTTTATTGTAAATAAGTTCGTAAACAAAAAAAGCTGCTTGGAACTTGATTCTGCAGTGTATTTAAGAAAAATGAATGTATACTTTCCAGAACAGAAACTTGGCGCGCATTTTCTCGATAGAGTACACATGCACTTAGATGTTGACTTTACCTAACTGCAAAAGAAAACTTGAAATAAAAGAAACGAAAGAGGCTGGATAGGTTTTTCTTCAGTAGTTTCACTTGCAAGGTTCTGAAGTTAAAGTGGAATACTTGAAATTAGCGCAAACTGTGCTGACATTAGCATCATATCAAGTGGTCTGGCTGAGATTCCGTCAAAGTTATGGTTAAAAGCATAGGTACGGTGTGACTGAAATTCCTTTTCTTTTTTAATGTCTTCAACACCTTTGGCTTATAATATACAGTTGTTGTGACAATTTTTGGAGTATTTATTTTTTCCAACGTGCCAGATACCGAAGCAAAATGTACCTATCACCAGTAACAATTGTGTGTGCATTTTCTAGGCCAGGCAGCTCGAGGCAACTTTATTTCCTTTGAACTGGTTTATGCGAAGTTTTAGATGGCTTTTATTGGTAAATGCGCGGGTACTCTAAACCAATTTCGTCATAGCAATCGTACCAAAATAATGAAGTGTTATTTCAAAAGAGAGAAGAAACTTCGCAAGCATATAGCAAAGCGCCATTTACTTATAAACAGGTATCGTGGTTCCACCCAAAGACTGGACAGAACAAACCAGTTTTGTGGCTATAAAATCCAACGCCATTCCTTAATACTTTTAAAATTCTGAGATTGGTGACTGATTTTAGTCTTTTAGGACAAGAAAGACGTTAATAAGTTTTGGCGCAAAAGGACAACATTGAAAAATTGTTAATTCAAAATAATTAGAAATCTGTTCCTGGCGCTGAAAATAATTTATTTAAATTAATCATGGTCTCTGGATTTAAAGAAAGAGAATAATAATAATTTTAAGCTGCTGACGTGTGACGCTCTACCAGCCCGTTCCACACTAATGCGTTTTGGCGATTAGTCAACACCGTTAACGATAAAAAAAATGGTCCATGCAGGGAACACTCACGAAAGTGGAGACTTTTTGAGGGGCAAGGTGCATCGTTTTTCATAATCGAGACGGTTCAAGACTGACTTCAAAACCTTCTAACACATCACTTCTTTAGAAGTACTAATTTATGCTCAAAATTATGCTCAACTGAAGGCCAGGTATGCTGACCCTCTCCTAATTATGCTCTTTACCCATTCTTTATCTGCTACATGAACATTTCCACAAAGTCCTCGATATTGCTTTTAAAAGTTCCTTTATCATAGAAAAAAAATACACTATTCTTTTAGGTTTTTCTGAGGGAACGGCTGCCTGTGGTATTCAATTCCTAAAATGTCCTGAATAGACTACAAAACAGTCGTCTTTTTCTTTTTTCTTTCTCAAAATCGGTTTTTCATGACGCGAAGCCCCGGCGGTTTCAGAGTCTCACACACGCGAAGTGCGCAAGCCTTACGCGCACAAGCCTAGAGCGTGTGAGCTAGGCGAGAGAGAAGAAACCTGGGGTTCAATTCCCCAATTTCCTGGCTTTCCGTTTCCAGCCTCGCTTCGGACCTTTCTTTTGATGGTTGGCGTGTTCCTGGCTAACGCTATTAGCAGCGTTTTACATTCAAACCGGGGTTGACTGAAGAATTAGCAAACATGCCTACCTAGTTTTCAGAAATACAACACAACAGTGATTTTGCTAAAATAAGTACGATATTTTAGCCTGAGAAAGAAGCCCTTTCTCTTCACTCCTCGCTGTTAGCTCGAGATATAGCATTATTCTCAAAATTATGTTTGCATCATAGTCCGTCAGACCCTAACAATCAGCGAAAACGTCAGTATGGATTCTTTCCATGTGTTTTTGATAACACAAAACTGAAAAAAAAAAAAACAACAACAACAACAAAAAAACACGCTTTTGTGTTTACTGAGACAAAGCCTAATCACTATACTAATTTATTCATCTGCTAATGGATTTCTTTACCTATATTCATCTTGGGAGCTTCTTTTGTTCTTTCAACTCCTAAATGAGAATTCATTTGAATGGTCACACCAAAGAATTTAATCCACAGCCTCGAAAAAGTGTACACCGGCCTGACTAAAATGAAATAGTACCTTGATGAGGTTTCACTCGAATGATCAGGTCAAAGGATTTCATCCATAGACGCGGCAAAATTAAAGAAAGAACTACGGTGGAACCCCGCCTTACGGCCACCTCTTTATTACGGCCACTTTTTTTCGGCCCAGCAAAACGGCCATACATTTTCTCAGAAAAACCCTCGTTAATTAGGTCACCGGCCGATAATCCGGACAATGACCACATTTTAAAATCCCAAACAGTAAATCTTTTAGAATTTCACCCCGTTGTACGGTCACTGACTCGTTTCAAAATTTAGAAAATTAAAATGCTTGAGCCCGATTTTGTATTGTAGTTTGGACTACAGTACACTTAAAATGCATTTTGTGGCGGGTTTTTAGCCGATTTTTAAAAGTGTTTTAGGTACTGAAATCCAAAATGTAATCACGTTATAGTACGAAACGTTATATGTAGACTGTTCACAGTCCCCTATTTTTTCGATTCGTGAGATCGTTTAGATATACCGCGTCTTACCGTTACGGGTATCTTGATTTTCAAATGTACCGAGGGGGCGGGCGTCGGGGATTATAGCTCTATTTTTCTCGCTTCCTCCCAAACCGCCCCCGCCCTAAGTAGTTGTGACACTCATGCAAGATGGCAGCCCGTAACACAAAGCGCTCGATCCCGACGATCTTACGGAAAAATAGAGGACTGTGAACAGTCTACTTCATATGAAACATCTGCTTCTAAGTTCTTTTATCAAGGTGACTATATTTTACCCTACCAGCACACCTGGTATGCCGCAAGTTATGATAATTATCTGTTTTTTTTTCTGAATATTAGAAAGAAGCCCGGCAAAGTGACGATGATTTTATACTTGTGGTTTTGCACCTTTTTCGTGCATCTGTCACTTTCCACAGGTGAGTGCAGGGATACTTGCAGTCCCCTTGAAGCCGTTTCTAGTCAAGAGCTTTAATATCGACGACGGCAACGGCAGCGAAAACTTCACATTTTAAATGAATTCCCATTTTTTCAAACTTTGTCGCGTTTATTCCAATTGGCTGAAAATGGCAAATGTAGGTGAATTTCCCTGGAGTGGATTTCTTGAGGAGCGCACTCAAGTTTAGAGAGAGAAAAATAAATTCGTCTTCACTTGTTTACTCCTCCGTCGTCGAAGTCGTGCAAGGACGGTAAAGAAATGTACAAAAACGCGTGATGCACTTGCAAAGTTGTTGTTTTGCTGATATAAACCTATTGCTTTTTTGACGTCCTCGTTGCCGTCGCCGTCGTCGTTGCCCAGTTGCCAAAGCTCCCCAGTGTCGTTACGCAACGCTACGGCTGCGAGGGAGACTAGGATACTTGTGACGGAGTTGGTTGAGTTACAATTCTGCTGTTTTATGGGTCGGGAGGGCTCAAAAATCTTACGCTTAATTCTGTATTAATGACAATCTTAATCAAACTATTTTTGGGTCTAATTTGGCTTCCTTAATCAGGTTCAGTACAATCCAAATAATCAGGGCTGACTTGGACCCACGGGCTGAAATAAGTCTCAGCGAATGCTGGAAAGGTTCTTTTATACAGCTGTCTTGGCTTAGATTGTGCTTGAATGGCTCTAGGAAAGGCTGAACCGAGACTTTAACCTGCGCGCAGTTCTGATTTTGACTTTAGGGCTGAAACCGATCCGTAAGTTTTAAATTTGCAGTGTGTACATATCTTCCTTTTTTTCTGTACGGTGCAACTAAAAAAAAATGAAGCTTTCTCCTACAACTGCATCCCTTCTCAGATCCAAAATCTTTGTAATTAGTTGAACTGGCTACTTACTAGAGCAAAACTGGCTAGCTTGGCGTGCCTGGCTTGGGCATGCTAACCGGCGATTATCCCATATTGGCCACAACGGGAACCTTCCGCCTAGTAATTTAGAGTGGCCCTAATGTCTCTTTTAAGCTGCTATCGTGCACCAACCCGGCCCATGAAAATACGATGTATAAACATCCTAGAATCAATTCACAGAGGCAACTTTCATGTAATTGTAAGCTCTGTCTGACTCCAAGAGAGGATCATGGGACAGAGAGAGGGAAACGCCCAGAAAACCTTTTATGAACGGTGTTAAAAGAAAGAACCTTTTTAAAGTGAGAACCAACCTAAGGAAAACTAAAAGTTTAGAACTGACTACTAGAGCGTACGCCTAAAATCTTCCTTGACAATTCGGGCGTGTACTCAGTGGTGCCAATGCTACTGATCTTGCGTCCAGTTATAATACGGTTCTGTGATAATAAGAGTTACTATGAATCGGTTTTTATGCTTTCCAGGAGTTATAATTATCTAAAATAGTTTTAATTTTAAGGTGCCTCAAACTGCGAGGACCCACCATTGGATTTATGCATTGTTCTCGACAAGACGAAAAGCGTGGGGAAGGCCAATTACAAAAAGATGCTGGAATCGGTCCGTACACTCATATCCAAGTACAACGTTGGCCCTACTAAAACACGCATTTCAGTTGTCACATATGATAAGAAAGCCCAGGTTCGGGTCAGCTTTAAAGAATTGGAGAAACAAAACAAGGATGCTTTAAACAGCCTTTTGGACTCGATGAAGGCTCGAGACAAGCTAGGCGGGGTAACGCGCACTGATCTGGCACTTGAGACAGTTGGTAACGAAGTGTTTACTACTGCAAATGGAGACAGACCGAATTCTCCCAATGTAATGATTGTGTTTACCGACGGTGCAACGCATAAAAAGTCCAAGCCTTACAGCGAAGTTCTTCCTCCCCTTGTGGTGAGTATAATTTGCACTATAATTTTACACTATCATCGAGGCCGCCTTGTTTGTTTTCCAGCGGGAGACTCCCCCTAGAATAGGGAGCTTAAGCAACGGCGACGGCAACGAGAACGGCAATAAACCAATAGGTTTAAATTGGCCAATTAGAGTGGTTTTCGTTTGAGTGTCGTAAAACCAAAACCAAAGTAATTACTCTGGCCAATCACATAGGACACAGACAATACATTGAACCAATCAAAACTCGAAGTAATTACATGTGGCTGACGCAATCGTCACAATTGGCTTTGGTTTTACTTCTGATTGGATGAAAAGGTGGCGCGAATCTTTTAAGCCAATCGCATCGTGTAGAAAGTGCAAAACCAATTACTTTTCGACACTCAAATGAAAACCGCTCTAACAACTTTGTACGTACATTACGCTTTTTGTACATTTCTTTGCCTTCGTCGCACGACTTGAAAATGCCTAATTTCACATGGCCTTATTTCAATGGCCTATACGGGGAGGCTCAACCCGAAAGGGGTACTTCCTTCTTCAGGCTCATATATCTGAAAGGGTAAGGATATCACTAGTTGAAGAACAAATCTGTCATTCCGTCTACAAAAAGACCTAAAAGGGCTAATAGAAGAATTTATGGTTGTAAAAAAAGTCGAGAAAAATTTCTGGTTTTGTGATTTTTTCATAGTTTAAAGACAAAGCATTTACAGCTGTTAAAAGGGATCGATACAACGTTCTAAACTAGGTATATGCCGATGGAAGGTATACGAAAGGGGTGCCTCAAAAATGGTATATAAAAGGGTAAGGACTTGGACCTCGGGACGGTGTCTCCCATGTAAAACCCCGTATGCTTCAGCCTGTTTTGGTGCCTTTTGTTCGAGTTTCTTTAAAAGCGATAATTAGTGAGCTTACGCAACAGGAAGGGAGAGGAAAAAAGACGACAAACCCTGTGTTACATGCGTGACGATAATTTTGTTTGAAAACACTTTCCTGCAAACTTCACCCTCCTTTAAACAGATCTTTTTGTAAAAGACCAGAAAACATCAATGTAAGTTACGATCACGACAAAACACGAAAGTAATAGCCAAATCACGTTTGTCACGCACAAGCGTTTTGCCGTCCTCTCCTTCCAACCGTCCTGTTGCGTAAACTCACTATTGGAGGGTACAAGACGACTTTCGGACGGAGGAACTGTTATGTGTGAGACTGAGGCCCCCGACTGAGGACCTTAGAGGCCCTATCAATAACCTCTATTTTCCCGTTGATATTCAGGCTGAAGGTGTCCAACGAATTGCTGTTGGAATCGGGAAAAAGATTAATTCAGACGAGCTTGAGACTATTGCAGGGAGCCCTGATCGCGTGGTAAATGCAGAAAGTTTTGATAAGCTGGACAAAGAGCTGGACGAAATACGTGAAGTTTCTTGCCGTAAGTTTTTAACTTGTCAAAGGGATAGTCGTTTATCACCTGTGAGGGAAGGGGGGCGGCCGGCCATTTTACTGAGGATTCATTTTAAAAATCTTGTTTGGTTTTGGGTGGTAGTTTTCAGACAACTGAGCGTTACCTGAGGGGTACTTTGATAAATTTCATCAAAGTAGCAAAAGCAATAACAAGCGTTAATTGAAATTGAATGTAACAGCAATCCGAGACTGTCTCGACGCCTGTTTGTGTTGCTTGTCTCGCGACTTCGTTGCTCTCTTCGCGTACGTTCCTCGCACTCTCACGATTTACTTTTGGCAGGTGTACCATCCGATAATTAACACCGATTTTATAAATATCACTTTTGAGAAAGTATTTGTAAACTTCAGTACGATATGTGTCGGTTCGGAGGTTCTCTTTCACAATATGTAAAATTTATGAGACCATTTCTAAAAGCATGGATGTAAGACTCTCCGCCAAAAGTACTCGCAAACTCGGATGACACGTTGGAAGTTATACGGACTAGTAGTCTTGAAGTTATTCTTAAATTTGTGTTTGTAACAGGTGTCGATGGGGGATATTCCAAGTGGAGTAGTTGGTCGAGTTGTTCAGTTTCTTGTGGGGGTGGAGTTAGTTGGAGACAGAGAAAGTGTGTCAACCCACGACCACGTGGGGATGGAAAAACGTGCAAGGAACAAAACCTTGGACCTAACAAGAAGTCAAAATTGTGCAACACTCATAAATGCGGTATCGTAGAACTCTATGTTGTATAAAAATATCTCTTAAGCTTAAAGTATGAGTCCGAATAATTTTTAACTTAAAATCCAGATAAAATTGAAACTATAAATGAAAAGCCTTCGACCTCAACAGAAGTCTTGTTCACTTCTGCGCCGGCAGGTGTCGTGTCTAGCCCATTACGTGCTAAGATTACGTCATTGTTCAGAGGCCTTGCCAGCCCGGCCCCATCCCGATTCTGCGTTTTAAGAAGACGAAACTACGCCGGGGCAGAAGTAAAGAAGACTAGCCTCAGCTGAGCTTTTATTAGTTTTTAATTTTATCTAAATTTTAAGTTTAAATTTTTTCTCAAGCTCATAGTTTAAATTTACTGGATAGATGAATCCACACAAGTCTCTTAAGATTTCCTTTTTCCGATTCTGTATACAGCGAACATGTAGGTTGGTTTTGTAAATGGAAAATTAGAATTTCCCTCTTACTTAGGTGAAGATGGCAACTGGTCTCCATGGAGTAATCCTGGACGCTGTGATAAGACTTGTGGAGGCGGTGTGCGAGTAAGAAAAAGGACCTGTACAAATCCACCACCTTCTGGTGAAGGCAAGAAATGTAAAGGACCAACAACAAAAACGGAGAGCTGTAACACACAGAAATGTAAGAAAAACACGGCTTTATTATTTCGTGTTTACCTCGTAAAGTTTTCACCATTTTAGAATTGGCTAATAGCGCCCTCGTTTTAAGATTGAGAGCTGTAACTTTACGTTGATCTTTACATTAGTGAAGCGCACACGTATTTACAAACTTGATGGACTCGCCGCTAGTAATGTCGATAAAGGTGGATTTCCACTGTCGCACAATTTTCTCGCGTGCAAATAAAATAGAGGCAATGTATGGTGCGACACCAGAAACTCTCCCGACACTTAATACATTTAGCTCTATTTTATTTACGCGCGTTAAATTTTCTTACATACACACTTAAGATTACGCGACAGTGGAATTCCACCTTAAGGTAGGGATTTTCTGTTTGCACAACTGATTTGTTTTATTTTATTGCTGCAATTGCAACTTTAGTTTTTGTCCATATCTTGCGACAGTGCTACTTCAAGTTGGTTGATATTTTTAAGGATTTATGTGATCAAGTGATTTTGACGTTATAGTCAATAGGATTATAAACAATTAGGGTCAGCCTAGGAGACAACTTCGCACTCCACGGACGGTCGCTCGCTCGCTCGCTCGCTCGCTTGGTGTTAACTCAATCATTGTTTCTTTTTAGGTCCTCCTCCTCCACCCCCTCCCTGCAAGGAATATTTGGATGTCGGAGTGATTATAGACTCGTCAAACAGTATCAAACCAAATGATTATGCAGAGGCTCGCAGTTTCCTACAAAGCCTTGCTCGTAGACTGCAAATATCAGAGGCTGGTTCACATATGGCGCTGATTCTGTACAGCTGGGAGGCGCATACCTATCACAGGCTAGTAGTCTTTTCCATGCTATACCCTTTTGATGTAACTATGTACTGCTACCTAATTCTGTTAAGGAAAATAGGCTATTCAAGGAAGCGCAACGAACTTACCTGGAACCGTTCAAACATTAATCATCTAATCAAAAGTCATGCTCTCAACAAAAGAGTCAGACTTTAGTAGTTCGTTGGCCACAATATAATTTTATGCGCTCTACTGGTAATGGATACCTACACCAATAATATGGATTGAAACATCCCGAAATTTACTTTCTTTTATAATTTCTAGGTTTGCTGACCCTCAAAATATCAACGAACTGGTGCAAAAGATTGGCAAACTACCACATATTCAAGGTGGAACACGAACTGACAGGGCCCTGGAACTAGCAGCAGAAGATTTCTTTGGTTGGCAGGAGACTGGGGACAGACCGGATGTCCCGAACGTGTTGCTTGTGCTGACTGATGGGGACACAAATAAGGGCAGCAAACCATTTTCTCAAGTTCTACCTCCATTAGAGGTTTTCATTCGTATTCTCTATTCCTCTTGTTCTTAGGATCGTAACTAAGTCTTTGTTCCGCAAAAAGCTACTTTTAAGACATTTATTGCATTGCGTTGCAAGCATTCCTATCAGTGGAAATGAAGGGTTTGCCGGATTCCTTCTTTTGGTGCTTGAAACTTGACGCAGGAGTAAAAAGAAAACACGTTCATGTCGCCTTTTGTCGCCAAAAAAGGACAAATGCTTCTCGGCCTCATTAGCGGACTATTACTTTATAGGCTGTCTTGTGAGAAAGCAAAAACAAGCATTAGAGCGATTTTCATATGACCTTGAAAAACGGTTTCGGTAAGCTTTCGTCATTTGTTTTATCAGCCAATGGATAAAAAGATCAAAACATGGATTCTTCGTTTTCCCACCAAAGAAAATGCTAATATAGAGAAGGCATTGTTCGATCGGCCAATCGTGTTGCAGTATGACGTCAAAGCTAAGTATCAGTTGATTTCTAGAAAGTTCTCGGGGTTGACCTTCGTCACCCCGAGCGTTCGCTTGTTCGCGCGTTTTCATTTCAAGGTCATACGAAAATCGCTCTATCTTTGTTAATCGTTCTAGCTCCAATAGGGACTCATTGGGAAGACAAATAAACAGCTAAGATAAATCCTGATATATATGGATATACATATATATAAATTGTCATTATCTCTTCATACTACAAAAAAATACTTGTAAGTACCGTCTTAAAAACTCCCTAAAATATTCATCTCTGCATGATCCATTCGCTCACACTCACCCTCCCACTCATTCATATCCTTGCAATTAACCATCTTGTCAGCCATTCGAACTTGCAGTTAAAACTTTTATCTCAATCATTTGTAAAAAACTAACTGAAACTTCTTTTCATTGGAATGAAGGCTGCAGGAGTAAGGCGAATAGCCATTGGCATTGGAAATGAGATCGATAAAGGTGAACTTGTACAAATTGCTGGTAACCAACAGGATGCCATTCAAGTAAAGTCGTACGGTGAATTAATCAGGAAACTGGAATATATCATGAACTGGCATGTGAGAATCAATTTTTAGGTAAATAAAATATTACTCTGAGAGAGCGCTTACACAGTTTATGTAATACGGCTAAATGTAAGGAGTTAGTTATTAGAAAGAAATGTAACAGTTGTAACAAGATGCCCAAAAATGTTCAATATTAAGCAATATGATGGTGGAACTCTACTAGGTGTAACGTTCTAATCCAACTGTAAATTTTCCGAACATTTTAAGGCCAAATTATGCGAGGCTATAACAAATGCTTGTTTGTAAGAAGGGGATTAAGAAAAGAGAGCTATTGGCAGAAAGATGTTGACCTTCTATTTAAATCAATTGTACACCATCGCTAAGAGCCCTACACTGGTTACCCGTAGCAAATCGCATAGTTTTTAAAATTTGATTGTTGACTTTTAAGGCCATTCATCAACTCGCTCCGACTTATGTTTCCGAAATTGTATCTATGAAAGACACTAAGGGTAGATACTATCTAAGAACAAATGAGGCCAAACTTAAGAGCATTCCATCATGCAAGTCTCTTTCCACGCTGGGTGATCGATCCTTTTATATGGCTGCCCATATAAAAAGATCTTCAAATCATGAAACGATCTTCCCCTTTTTATTATAAATATACCTTCAGTTAATGCTTTTAAAAAGGCTCTTGAATAAACTATCATTTACTCAACATCATTGAGAGAGCGAGAGCAAGGGTGACTCAGTAGTAAAAGCACCCAGTGTGCACTCGCCTCCCACCAATGTGGCCTGGGTGCAAATCTAGGATTGGCTTCAGTTTGCTGTTGGCTAGTCTCCTTTGTTCCAAGAGGTTTTTCTTCGCTTTTTTATTTCCTCTCCTCAAAAGCCAACATTCCAAATCCCAATACGACCAGGAATGGTAGACAATGAACTACTATGATGATGCGTTACCTCTCTTTAAATCGCTAATTAATTATCTAATTTTTTGAATTATGCAAAATCCCAGAGAAAAAAGAAATTTTTATCAGTTAACTGTTGTTATTCCATGGTTAATTTTACTTTAATTTACCTTTGACAAAACCTGTTTTTTCCTTAGGATCCTGTGGTGGCTGGGATTCCTGGGGAACTTGCAGTAAGACCTGTGGATCTGGATTCAAGGTTCGCAAAAGGCAGTGTCCAAGGAACAGTCTACATTTAAAAGAGCAAAAATCCAGCCGCAATACTAATCTGTGCCCAGGAGAAGGTAAAAGATAAAGACTTTTTAGGAGCTATTAATTTATTTACCAGCTGTGCTTCAAACTTGCATATGCGAAACTAGAGTGCTCTGAGGCTTCTTTTTCTACTGAGGTAGGGAATAAAAGGTCGTAGGATTTCGAAGTTATTTAATACAATTTTTTTTCAAAATGTGGTTTTAAGTATGTGCCGATATCTCAGTCGTCTTTATACCCACCAAAAAGTAAATAACTTTTTCTTGAAATTCCACCATTCATCCTTAAGGCTGCCAAGAATCATAGAAGTCATTTAAATATTTCCAGTTGAAAATCGCGAATCAAAAATATAAAAATACTCTTATAAATAGGTTCGGCCCACCTGGCCTTAAGATTTTTGCTTGTTATAGGTTACTAAAGATTACTATCGATTACTACCATTTGTTATCGATTTTCTCAATCATTCACAATCGACAATTTTTTCTATGACTTCGATTGTCATCGATTTTCCTTAGCAATCGATAACAATCGGCGGATGATATCGACTAATTTCCGATATCGATTTCTACGCGTAGAAGAGCATGTGATGTGACCAAATAAAAGAAGCGCCTTCTCAAGTTTATTTTCACAGCGTTTTCAAAATTTTCTACGGATACTGACCATAAAGGCATGATTAATAAGGTTTTAAATAACAGATTTTTTTAATCAATATACAGTACCCTGCGAAGACAGTAGGGAAGACTGTCCGTCCCTTGCGGCGGCCGGAAAGTGCTGGAAACAAGCCATAGGGCAACAGTTCCGTCAAACATTCACCTTGTGGAATCAATGCAAGAAAAGTTGTCGTAGATGTAACGGTAAGGAAGAAATGTTCAGAGCGTTAATTTTTTTGCAAGAACATCCACAGCAGACTTTGTGTTTGTTCCATTAGTTCTTTGTGTAAGTTTCTAGAATTGCTCTTGGCTCTCAGGTTAATTCATCTCCAAAAAATTATTAGTCTTAACGAAAGCATATTATTAGCAATTTGAGTTCCCTTTTCTATTGTGCAAAAATAAGTAAACAAATAAAATAAATAAATAAAAAATTGGAATGATTAGAGCCCAGTAATGAGGAATTTAGCCGACTTTTCTTTCTTTTTTTTCTGCAATGAGATTTCTTTTCTAACTTTCTTCTTTTTTGTTAGTGGATACTCAGTGCCAGGATAATGATCCATATTTGTGTCCGTGGCTGGCTGCTAAAAACAAGCTGTCGTGTCTAATAAAACTAAAATGTAAGTACTGAACTGAGTAGCAACTTTCCCGAGGGATGGGGGTAAGGGTGGAGAGGATAATTATTATTGTGCCAATTACAACAAGACCCACACCACGTTCGCCAACATTTGTTATCCTTCATTCTAGCCTAGACATCCAAATATCCCCTCCCTTCCAAATTACAATTCCCCTAAGGGTCTCAAAATAAACTTAAATGAGAAGCAGATTATATAGCCTGTATTGCTTGGAGAGGAGAACTTCAAAGCGTTTTATAGTAATTATACATGTAAACTATACGACATTGTAATCAAACATTTGAAATTAAAGTGGCAGAAGACAAAACAGTTAGCGATAAACAAACTGCTAGTGAAAGATCCCGGACCTCAGGATTATAATTTAAGCGCTTTTTACCCAGCCGCGTTACTTCTAAATTCGTTAGGAAATTTATCAGATTCTTTGTAAACGACATTGGCAAAGAGCTCAGTGCTCTTCCGTCCGTGTTTGAAAACTATCGTCGCTCCATTTATGCGGCGACTCGACTGAGGGCCCCGGGGTCTCCGAGGATTGGGTATCATATACCAAATTTTGTGCACCTAAACCTTCTAGATGTAAAGGACGGACCATTAGAAAAGTTATAAAACTGGATTAGAAGACGAGGAGCATTTTTTGATGAATTGCATAGCCTATAGGGATGAATTGCATAGCCTATAGGGATCCTAGGAGAGAGTTGTTCAATACGCTAAAAAAGGAAACTAATCTTATTCTTGACTCTATGACTCCAAGCTCTGCCTTCACAACGTTGATAAGTATGAAGCAAGGAGTATAGTTGTATAAATTTTACGAATGTACACCTCTGTAATTATTGCACTAAAATCTTTGTTATCGTTGTAAACACATGTGTCTGTAGGCGCTCTGTTGATAATAAAGCACTTATCCTATCCTATCCTATCCTAAGGGGTGGAGGGGGGGGGGGGAATTTTCGAGCCGCAGGAATTTTTTTTTGTCATCAAATTCCTTGTATGATTTTTTTAAGCCACAGCATGAATATGTTTTTAGGATTAATTGGCGTGAATGAATTTTTTTTTTCATTTAATTTTCCCTTGCGCGAATATTTTTTTGTACTTCGCCCGACCCCCCCCCCATAAGTTTTCTAATGGTCCGTCCCTAAAATGCCAAAAAAAATACTATAGCAGGAAATATCCAAATCTTATATATCAGATCCCTCCACCACCACGCGCTAACTGGTTGATGATTCGTACTAATTATACTAACAAGAGACAATAAGGGGACAGAGAGGAAAACGCCCAGTCTAGCCCTTAGGATATGCAAATTTCACTAAAGTTATTTTAAGGCCAATTAAACGCTTAACATTAATCAGAAGTTGGTTTCCGCAGTGGTCTGCATACTTTTATTCATGGCCGTCAAGAGAAAATAACGAGTCATTATGCTCTCTCGGTGTGTCGTCATTACAATATTCTGCATAACTTGGTAACGTTTCTAACAGTCAATTAAAATGTGCGGACGTCCCAGGAATTAGACTTCCGTTTAAGTAAAACCTCTAAAAATAACTTACGTAAAATTCACATATCCCGGCCGACGCCCTAAGATTCCCTCTCTGTTGCATTGTTCTCTCTTGCTAACATGGACACTTTTTTTTATTTCTTCCACAGCTGTATGCAAGCAAAGCTGCAAAACGTGTGGACTTAGCGGAGGTCATATCAATAAATTTTTATATCTCATTTGTAAATCATATCAAAGCGACGCCAAGTGCACAGTCATTTTTTTTATTTCTGCACGAGAACGGAAACATATTTGCATATGAAAGAAATAGCACTAGGACTCGCTTTTAGATTGTGCTAGTAAAAGTAGCATATTATGCCAGTACCACTGCTCTTTTTTTGGCCAAATTATGCTAAAATTATGCTCATTTTTCCAAATTATGCATATGCTACTTTTTTTTTAAATTGTGCCCGTCAAAAACCATGGCAAATAAGTCTAAAAATACATTTTCTTTAATCAGACGCCGTTTATTCTTGTTAGCTATAATATATGACGGTCTCTGGCAATTGTTACTGGTTTTGGCCCGTCATTTGTCTGAGAGAGCTGTACGTTTTTGCTCGAATCGGCTGGCATAGCTGACGCCATTTTGTAGTCTTGCCTATGGGGGGTATTGGGACCGACATGGTTTGCTATGAGACTTCCGGTTCCCGTACACCCTAGTCCCAGGCCCCCATTTCCGGGCTCAGTAAACTACAAATACCGCTAAAACCTCGAACAACGTCAGCGTATAATTGGGATTTGGGAATCAAAGTGCCTGTCAAAAACCCAAAAATGTTCCGATAGTTATCAAAATATGCGAATTATGCTAGCAGTGCTACGTTTTAAAAAATGGGAAAAATTATGCCAGTTTTTTCAAATTGTGCTAAAAATTATGCTAGCACAATCTATAAAAGCCTACTCGCTTTAAAAGAGAGGCTCAATGCCTATATGAAGCTTACGCAAGTTGTGGCAAGGTTTTAAAGCTTGATTCATCCCTTAGATATTTCACTAAGAAGCTCTTAATTAAAATGCAGCCTAATCTACAACGCCTGCTCTAGATTAGGCTGCATTGCAATCTACAAAAAGAAAAATCTTAATATCCTTTTAATTACAGCTGCGTCCACCTTTCAGATATGAGGTCTGCGCTTACCGTTTTTTGTTGTATTTGATGAAGCTTTAGTCTACCCGCCCGTTGCTTCATGATCAATTATCGACTTTAAATCAGAATTTGAAGTGCCAGAGGGTACAGAGGTGGCAATGGACGGGCTAATGTTAGTTGCGTCTAACAGCTTTTGGTTTTGTCTCATCCTTATTTGAGCTCTCATGCTAACTACAAACCGTCTGCGTGTAACTGCGGTCCCTTACCATTTTGTTTTCGTTTTTCCAAAAAAATTTACTACCGGAATATAAGCTCGCTCAATTCTTTTCTCGTCCAAAACGTTTGAATTTTGACCACGTTTTGACTAATTAATTAGGAGCCTAAAATGTTGTATTCTTATACCACCAAATTGTCCAGGGGCGAATTTGTTAGACTGGCGCTTAGGCCTCCTTGCTGTTGTATTAACTATTGAATCATTTTTTTTCATGTCACTCCTATTTATTTAGGTGGTAGTAGCGTAGGCTGGGGTAGCTGGGGTAACAACAATCAAGGTGGAGGAAACGGTGGATGGGGAAGACCCAGTACCTGGGGAAGCAGCCATCACGGTGGAGGGGGAAGACCCGGTAGCTCGGGAAGCAACCATCACGGTGGAGGACACGGTGGGTGGAGAAGGCCTGGTGGCTGGGGAGTAGGTGGTGGGCGGAGACCCGGCTTTTTTGGACGTTGAAAATATGAAAGGAAAAGTAAGTATATTTCAGAAATAAAAAAAAAATGGATAAATGTATTTTTTTGATATTTTGGTTGCTACATAGTCCATCCAAGAGGGCGAAAAAATAAAAAATAAGAAGAGTGAATGCAAGTACAAAATAAATTTTACATATACGAGTTTTTTGATAATTTATTTCAAAACTATTATTACATGTAACCGTTATCCGTAATTGTTTTAGTTTTCGCCCCCATAAGGGTTATGGTTGCCGAAATGTACAAAAATTCCAAAGTACTTACACCCATTCAATGCTTCATACATATTAGAAAAAGCCGCTATCAGTTCCATCTTGTGCCATATATCTTTGATGTTTTAGGTATTTGATAAATTATGCCATTTGTTGTTGGACAATTTCCTCAATATCTTTTGATAAATTAAGTTATTCGTTTGATAATTTATTGCAATATCCATTCGATAACTTATTAACTTCATTCGATAATTTAGTTCAAATCCATTCGATCATTTACTAATTCCATAATTCGCCACAATATTTACTCAACAATATGCCACAATATTCATTCGATAATTTTACTAATATTCATTCGATAATGTGTCACAATGTTCATTCGATAAATATCTGTAGACAGTCAATCCTGCACGTGACCGACTCCCCCATATTTGGACAAAAAGGGCTGGTGGTAAGTCCTAACCATGTACTTTGTTGTTTCCAAAGCAATAAAAGGGGGCGTTAGGCCTACACCACTTTTACCTCATATCAAAATGCTGCTTGTTCTGAAAGGTTCTACATTTTGACTGAGCAAATGTGATTTTAGCCGCTTGTTTCACACTGAGAAGTCATGGCACACATATCGATTTAGTATGGTTTTTGTTTCTGGTCGGCAGGATTTGCCTTGTGATGCAAGAGGATTTTCTTTGACCTCTTTTGAAGCGTAAAGCTTTTTATTACGGCAGAATGAGGGTTTTAATTTTCTCCAAAGTGACTTCTGGATCTGAATAACTAAGCGATTTTCTTTAGTCCTTCAATGTAATGTTTTTTCTCCGATCTTGTATCACGCTGGACTTAGCTCATTAGTTTTCTTAGCAGGATGTTAAATCAGTTATCACGGATGGTGATTTACAGTTCCAAAATTATAAGAATGAAGTGTAGCTTAAACTGAAGCTACAACAAGTATGGACAATTAAATTGTCACTGTTTAAACTCCAGCTTGTTTTTCTAAAGATAATGTTAGCCTTTTGACTGGAGCGTGTAGTTGTTACTCCCTTGGTAATAGCTCTTGAAAACAACAAAGCAAATGGTTTGGGCTTAGCCACCAGGCCTTTTTGTCCAAATATGGGGGAGTCGGTCACGTGCAGGATTAAATGTTTATAGACATTTATCGAATGAACATTGTGACGCATTATCGAATGAATTTAGTAAAATTATCGAAGGAACATTGTGGTATATTGTTGAATACATATTGTAGCGAATTATGGAATTAGTAAATGATCGAATGGATTTGAACTAAATTGTCGAATGAATATTAGTAAGTCTGATCGAATGGATGCAGTAGATTATCGAACAAATAACTTAATTGGCGAAATTGTCCAACAAGAAATGGCATAATTTATCAAATACTTAAAATATCAAAGATATGTGGCACAAGATGGAACTAATACCGGTTTTTTTCTAATATGTATGAAACATTGAATGGATATAAATACTTTCGAATTTTGCTACATTTCGGCAACCATTATAGAGTTGGTTTTTCACCAAAATCTCGTTATATACCAGTCATTTTACCATTCTTTTGGAGTTGATATCTGTCTTGTTCTCTCCGTTCTCTTGTTTTAAGGATCATTTTTTAAACTGGTATTTAAGGTCTCGTCAATACTCATTTGTCGAAAAACTCTGTGCTATGATTGTTTCTGTGCATGCATGTTTAATTCCCGGATAATTGTCCGTCTTTCAAATAAATGTGGTATTTATTTGTAGCATTTTTACCTCATAAAGTAAACTGTATGATTCCTTCTTATCTTGTTCTGGTTTTACTTTGAAGGATTGGCACTGAACTAAAGAAGAAGGTATTCCGATCCGATGGATTTGTGCTAGTTTAGGCATTTTTTAAGTCTCCAACGCTAATTTTCGTCTCGTACTTCTTCTTTTCTTCTTTACCTTTCTTGTATACGGTTTCTCCGAAAAGTTTTTCAACACCTTCACCTTTGGAAAAAAATGATCAAAATAAACTTGCAAAGTGAGCTTGTGTTAGTGCGATCCTATATGTCTTTATGTATATATATTATTTTCATCTAAGGCCTAGGCCAAACGTCGAACTTTTCATGAGAAGGACTAAACTCTAATTTGGATCAACCTAAATTAAGTTAAGATCGCATGTTGGATCAGACGTCTAACTTACGACGCGCCGAACCAATCAACTGAATCAGACCAAAAAGCAATTTTAGCCGAACGAGGCTAAATATACATTCTCATTCAAATTTTAAATTTATTAGTTTAGTTCGTTGCATGTGAAGATCGTCATTTGTCCTGGAGACGATCTTGAGACGTTAACGTTCTATCCGACTGAAGCAGACTGATAGAACGTGTTAGACGATCCAAACCTTAACTGAGCCAAACGTCGAACTTCACTAACTTTGGTCCGTGTCATTAAAAGTTCAACGTCTGGCCTAGGCGTAAGATACTCAACAATGTTATCACTAAATGATAACATGGCAAGTTGCAAGTTTTCTGAACCTGGTTGAAAAGCTTACAAGGTAATAATAACTGAGCAAAAATTTGCGCAACTTTTGCTTTGCAATGTATGAACCAGGTTCAAACTTGCAAAGTTATATAATTTGCAACGCTGTGTTGCGCTACGCGTCGTCATTGTAGACAGTCACATGTAACTATCGCCTTCACTTTTTTAAAACAAACCTAAAGCAAGGGGCGCACATACACCAACCCACGGCCTGGCCAGTACCTCACGCATGCGCAGCCGGGTAGTGGCAGCCATGGACAGAGACAGCTTGTCCGTCCATAGGCCCGACGGCTATGCCATGCTAATGAGCCCCAATAAGGGCGATACAGCTTTCCATGGCTGCCACTTCCCGGGTGATATTGTTGTGCGGGTGCGTGAGGTAGTGGCCATGCCGTGGGTTGGTGTATGTGTGCCCCTTGCTTTAAGTTTCGCTTTCTTTGAATGATGATATCTTGGCCGTCTTATATTAACAAAAAAAGACATTGTTTAAGGGCCAAAACGCAGTTTATATAGAGTACCGGTCCTTCTCGCCGCGCAACTCCTTTATGCAGCTATTTCAGCTGGGCAGAGAAATTGTGCGCCTATCGAGGGAGGGAGTTGGGAGGCTAGCGTCTCCCCCTTAGGCTGATCAGCTCTTTGACTGCCGCATCCATATTTAAACTTTTTAGTTTTGTGAGTTTTTTGATGGCACTTGACGGGCTGCACACTTTCCCCAAGCCGACCGCTCATCCGAAATGTGTCACTTTGAGTAAAACAGTATAGTGGATGTGAATTATAAGGAGTATCACTTTTCCAAAAGTTAGAGAACATACTGGTCCTCTCTATCGATTTTACGTCTAGATGATATAAACAATGAAGCCATTGCTTTGTTAATGATTCAATACTTCAATAACAACCTACTATCATCTTTCAATGATTTCTTTTGTCTGAACGGAGACATTCATTAATACAACACAAGATCATTCTCTAAGGGCCTGTTTACATGAAGGTGGGGGACCCCAGACAGGTGAGGTAACCCCCTTAAGTGGGGTTAAAAAAATAACCCTCCTTTACATGCAATCTTACAACCCCGCCATCCCGGGGTGCACTTTCTCAAGATTACTGAATGGTCGCTAAGCACGTAAACAAGAAAAATGCTCGCAAACCACGTTTTTTGGTGATTGATGCTCTTCTACACTCGCTTGCAGCTCTTGCTGCAACCTCCAGTGCTGTGGCTTTCTATTGTTACCTTTAATAATGATGGAAAGCTACCGCCATAGTGAATTTTGCGGGAATTCAGTATCGCGAATCCGACCCCGGCTAGGCGGGTTACCCCACCTTGAAACGTTTACATGGCAAAATTTGACCCCGGCTGAGAGGGTTGCCCGGTCTGGCAGACCGGGCTACCCGCCTTGACAGGTCATCCCATCTATCATTTAAACGTGATCAAATTAAAATGAGAGTTTATATGGACAGGCGGGTTACCCCACCTTAGCGGGTTACCTCACCTACCTGAAGTCTCCCACCTCCATGTAAACAGGGCCTAACGTTCACAAATTCCAAGCACGAATCAACTCCCAAAAACACTCAGTAAAATACCATAGAGTTTCAATACGCATTAACTTGACAAAATCTATCAAAGAAATTAAGACATCCAATTTATTCAGGAAAAAATTAAACCTCATTTTCGCCTCAAACAAGAAAGTTATTTGCTTAAATGATAAGTTTCAGTTAGTTCTCTAATTACTATAATCCTCGTAACCATATCCATTTTATGATCTTAAAAATAAACTTGTCCAGGGGCTCTCCATGTAAAGCCCAAAAAGGTTTGCTGAGAGATCCTGCCCAGGTATAATTATCGTATAATTGTTCGGCAATAAGTCTGTGAAAGGGCAAATAAATGACATCATGACAATCTGATATTTACCCAAAATGTGACAAAACGTAACCTCTCCTCCCTACTTCGAAAAATCCTAGGTTCGCCGCCAATGATTATTCTTATCAAAACCAAAATACTTAACAATTAATGATTGAGGCTGAGTATCTTATGAAGAATTATTGAGATCGATACGAAAGCCGCATTCAATAATTGTTTTATTATTCATTTGAATTAATTCCTAGTTTAAAAACAAAGCTAAAACATGGTTACCTCTATCGATGTAAAGTTCACCTTCGATAGTGCACGTTTAGGGTTTTTCAGCTCCGCAAATGTTCTCCAAATAGCAGATGTCGCCCTTCCAGTTGTTTCTTGCTGTTCTTGCTGTTCATGCCACGTTTTTAGCTATAATTTTGCCTAGTTCTAACTGTTGAAAAGAGTGAAATGTCCGCCATGTTTTTGTTTTTACAACCAAAACAACTCAACCTCGTCCCCAGGTCTTCTCGGTTAACGTGCCTTAACCTGCAAAAATGCTCATGTCATTTACTCGTTAAACATAAAATTCTTCCAAATTTGGTCATCAGTAACTGGTTATGGTGAATTATGCGTGTGTTTTTAGCCAATCAGAATGGGGAAAATATTTTGAATGAATAACAAATGTATTAAATCCTCGAGAGAAGCAGCTGAAATGGAAATATATTTTCAAACCATAGATGGTTCTTTGCATCTATTAGACCCAGCACTCTTGTACTTTTCAAAGCACAATTCATTTGTGATGCATTCAAGTTAGTTTTTTTTGAAGTACTGTTTTCAGAAGAAGTAAAAAAGGATTTTCTCGTGGATTCTCATGGAATGAATTTTAATGTTACTGGGAAAAAAGAGAATTATTATCAAAAGAGGGTAAATTAATCCTCTCGTTTTTATACATAGATTAATCATATCCATAGGGCAAATCATCAAGTGGTGTCCTTTGGATTTCCGTTTTGGGGGCTAAGCAGAATATTTCCCAGTAACCTGTCGAGTATCGGGTGTTTCTGGGAAAAAGGGCGCAGAGAGAAGCGAAAAGGGGAGAGAGAAAAAGTGGAGAAACGCAATTTTTTTTTTCATCCCTCCCTCCTCCGCACTCTAAGATCTCCTCTAGCCCTTAGTCTCTAACTATACATCTTTCAATTGTTTTTTGTAAGTTTAATAATAATAATAACAATATTTTATTTTGATGATAAGTAATAATTTTATTATTTTTATAAAAATATGTACATAATTTACAGAAATATTTGGGGTAAGAATTAAGCACTATATAACATTAAGAATAGTATAAACAAGAATCGCCGAAAGGCGATTTTTAACTGGGCTGCAAAGGGGCTATTTTTTCTGAGGGGAGGGGGCGGCTATACACACTCAGGCTACCATAAAACCTTGTCGGCAACCATTGCATGCAACAGAATCTCATGTGAGACTGAAACATAAACTCATTCAGAACATTGTACCCTTTTGAAAGACTTTCGTAACCAAAAAAAAAGAGTACCATTTTTAAGTGGGGGCTGTATAATAACTTTTAAATTCCACCATTATGAATAAAAATAAACAAGTTAGCCATTAATTCTAAGCAGGAAACAATTTGCATTATTTCCACGTACCCCTCCCCCAATCCCTCTGTGCCCCAAAATATAGCGTGACAGTATAACGTGACTAATTTGACGTAACTGGAAATTCCAAAAATTGTTGTCGTTCTACGAGCATAAAATGCGACAGACTGAGCTGATTTACACTAGACAGAAATATTGTATTGTATGAAAACCAGAAGTATACTAAAACAGACAGTTAACTGCCCATTGATCCCGCCTGATCCAGGGGCCTCACTGACTGCACGGAGACTTTACTGCGCTTTTCACAAACATGCGAACTCTAAAGTTCAAAAGCCACCTTCACAATTGTGTTTATCGCTGCCGTCAATCATAATTACGATCACAAGCAACGAACCTTGAAACAGAGAAACACACAAAACGGATCGAAATCCACAAATCACAAACCATGACCTTTTGAACCCGTGAAGTAAAGTTTTGTTTCCTAAGAGGTCCGTTAAGATGATTGACAGCAGCGAAAAACGCAATCGTCGGTTGGGTTCTGAACTTCAGAATTCGCATGTTTGTGAAAAGTGCGATCCTAATTTGCGGTCCACAGTCTACATGAAAACGCACTATTTTTTCCACAAGATGAAAAATATTCAGTTTTAAGATTTTCCTCATGGTATTTTTCTCTAACTTAAAGGAATAAAATCCTTTGCATTTTGAGACCTAAAAAAGTTTAAAGATTTCTCGCTCGCATGTTGCGTTCACCAGCACGCACTTCAAACAATGTAAATAGATGAAACGATCGATAACATATTTTTTACCTGATACCGATGTGAGTTAAAAATTCGCTCCAGTTCTGTTTGTCTCACCCAAGACTAACTTTTCTTCATGGAAGATAACTATGCCGCTTTATAACTCGTCCGAAGTTTTTGTGCCAGCTAAACAATATGGAAACACTATTCACAGTGACTCCTTGGATATTAAAAAGACTGAACGTGACGCACTATTATGCCTTTGTTTACTTCTGATCACATCTTCAAGCGAAGTCTCTCTTTTCAAGCGATTCATCTCAATGCACAATAATTGACCCTTATATTAGTTAAAATCCTATGGTTCATTTATATTAATGCTGTTTTTGCCCCTCACATTGACTGTGTTCGTTCGTATTCAAAACACCTTTACGAAAATAAAGGTCGTATAAGTCATGTGTGTTATGTTTCGAGATAAATGGATTATACGCTTTTTTAAGTTTCCATTTTGCGGTGACTTCAGTTTACATCTCCATAAAATGGTAAAAGAAATATCAAGAAACATCACGAGAGCTGAAAATTTTCAAAGGCATGTTTCTGAAACTCGCTAATGCTGACATCAATATAGCGTGCTTGCTGAATGGGCGAAAACACAGAATTGTGATCACAAGATCTTGTACAAATTTAATGACAAAAGCTTAGCAAGATACAGATACAAACAAAAGCAAACCCCCTGAAACCTCGACGTGGGCTACACTTGTATGCTCTACTCAGTCACCAAACCTTGTCAGTAATAGCTCCTATTTTCCTCAAGTCGCTCTCTGTGAAGCTCCCGGATGGGATGTCCCGGAGAAGCTTTAAACTTGTGTGCGAAATTCTCAGAGTTCCTATTTTTGTCCGTGTCTTCTTTATCCTCAGTATCCGAAATTTAGATCTCCAAAGTGGCGTGTGTTGCATTAAATAGAAGGAAATATTTAAAGGAAAAGCCAGTCTTCTAACATGGCAAAGTTGTCACGTCCCTCGCTTATGGACGTGCGTCACATCAGGATTCATCTGCCATTCATCGGCAACTGAGTTGTTCGCTTCACTGACTATGACGGCTTACAATCAAGTCTTCAGCCATAGTGTCGTCAACTGGTGAAATACTTTGCTCATAAATTGTGCTTCTTAATTGCTCATGTACTACATCGATCGATAGTTCACGAAGCAGCCACGGCGTTCCAAACCTGGCGCTCACAGTCATCTTTTCAGTCTTTTAGTGTGAACCTACCGTGAACGGCGTGTCGGTTTGAATGCAACGCGAGCATTTCTCTGAGTTTCCCAGCGCCAACATCATCTAACTGAATTAAACTCGAACAATAAAAAAATTATAAAGTTACTCCCATGGTCGAATCGCTTCGAACAACGCAAATAGCCTTCTTCAGGTTCGCAACGCCTTGTGGGTTTTTCAGGGGAAGCGCAGACAAGGTACAAAAAGTATCCGTGCATGGGTTCATGCAAGAGAAAATCCTATGAAACCATTTGTGAGAACATCGTTTCTACGTATCAGACCCTCGTGTTTTCCCTCCCCCGGATGACCACTTTTTGACACCGACGAACGAAAACCCATTTTATGACTGGGCTTGCCGGGCAGCCCAGTAAGAATAAAAATAGCAATCACTGTGTCAATAACGATTTCACAAATACATTTCTTGCGGCTCAGATGCGGTCACTAACTCTTGCATGGAGTCCAGAGTTTTAAATTAAGTCATTACCAATTTGTCTCTGATATTAAAAAAAAAAAAAAACAAGTTAAAAAGAATAAAAGTCTCTTATTCCTAAATTCCTAATTCCTTAAATAATAATAATAATAATAATAATAATAATAGTAATAATAATAATAATTAAAAATTTATAACGCGCCTTTTCCATGCAAATATCATCAAAAGCGCGTAAGAACCGATGCTGTAAATGTTAAAAGAAAGTAGCGAGGAACATTAGATATAAGCCGAGCAGCTGCATTCTGCAAGCGTTGCAGTTTAAGTAGATGAACAGAGCGTAAACCAAATAGAGGGCTAGCGCTGTTACAGTAATCACAAAAGTGTGTGCAGATTCCTGCGACAGATACTTTCGGATACGTCGAATATTGTATAAATGGAAAAACCCAGATTTGCAAGTTTTGTGGATCTGTTCCTGGAGATTCAGATTAGAATCGAACCATGACCCTAAATTTCTTACCACAGTGACAGGAACAACGTCAATTCTTCCTACGGTAAGGCTTATTTCTCGACTTAAAATTTTTCATTGCAATAAAGACAATTCTTTTCTTTGTCTGGGCTTTTTTAACCAAATACGTGCAAGTGCGACTTTAGACAATACAGAACTTTCCGTAAATGTTAACGACGTTGTTTTAAGGTGGCCCGAACCTATTTATATGCGGGTTCAGTGGTTATGTTTTTGAATCGAGTTTTTCGGCAGGAAAGATTTAACCGATTTCTATATATGATTTTTAGCATCCGTAATAAAGAATAGTCGAACTTTAAGACACTGTTAGTCATTTTCTTGTAGGTATAAAAAAGTTCGAGATATATCGCCATACTACGTTGAAAACCACATTTTTACAAAAAGTGTCAATGACTTCGAAGTCTTCGAAACCCTAAGACAGATTTTTCTCTAACTTCAGCAAATACGCCTCAGAGCTCTCTAGTTTTATATCTGCAAGTTTAAAATCAATCGTGACCGTAGAACTCGCTGCACAAATAACTGGTCAAATTAACCTTAAAATGCAACGCTAACACATTTGTGAAAGTTGACACGTAAATAGAGCCGGAAAAATGCCGACGGACTTGCCCAAAGTTTTAGTTGCAAGAAACTGGGTAATCAGAAACCTACGGCGCATACAGTTTGCAATGCAAGAGGAACAACTTTATGCTGAATGCAAGCAAGATGAACGAACATATACATCTAGTTATCAAAGTTACTATGTGTTTGCCCTTCTCTTTTCGAAAAAAAATCTCAACAAAGCAAGATACCGTAAAATTTCGAAAATAAGCCCCTCTATGTATAAGCCCCTCCAAATATAAGCCCCCCAAACTGGTGACGCAAAAAACCCTTCGTTAAATCGCCCCTCCAAATATAAGCCCCCGGGGGCTTGTACTTGGAAAATTGCTCTCAAATACAAAGTAAAACAAAGCAAAAACGGTAAATTTACTTCGAACTATAAGGCTAGTCCAATCGATTCGTAAACGCAAATTTCCCTCTGTAGAGAAGCCCCTCCGAATAAAAGCCCCTCCAAAAATAGGCCCCTCAAAAAGTTAAGGGCCTTTGAAAAATATAGGCCCCGGGGCTTATTTTCGGAATTTTACGGTATAGCATCTACAGAAATCTCCTACCAGTTTTTAGCACCGAAGGTTCCCGTCAAGAGGAGAAAAAAAGCCACCAACTCTAGTACTTCAACCGATCCATTTTCAGCTGCAACGAAAACCCTTATATTAGGTAATTTATTCAAACTTGTAAGATTTGCCAACACATTCGCACGATACCGTATGTATTATTATTATTGGTTTCCTCCAAAACAACGTTCTTTTTTCAACAGAATAGCTCCTGAGCAACGTACTTGTTTTAACATGAAAGTAGGTTTTGGTAATGAATTGTTAGAATCAATTTAAATGTTAATATTTCAAATTCTTTATTCTTCATATTAGATTTGTTAGTAATGAAATAATCATAACGAAGTTTAATTTCATCTTTCCTATGGCGTTTCTCAGTATGAAGGTGAAACTAAAAGGTTGTTACATAAGATACATCAAATTTGATTTTTTTTTAAATTTTTCATTGTTTTTGAAGTCTTACCGGTTTCTTAGAAGAAAAAAAGATCATTTATAGATATCATTTAGATTTGTTAGTAATGAAATAATCATAAAGGAATTCAATTTGGTTTTCAGCCGAAGTCCGCAAACCTTGATTCTGACTTAGGGCCTGTTTACGTGGAGGTGGGGGACCCCAGGTAGGTAAGGTAACCCACTTAGGTGAGGTAACCCGCCTGCCCATATATGTTATCACGTTTACATGTTAGGTGGCGTAACCCGTCCCATGTTACCTCACCTACCTGGGGTCTCGCACCTTCATGTAAACGGGCTCTTAATTATATTGTAAAATTATTAAACGTTACAGATTGATACCTTTTGCAGCAAAATATGACAAAAGTCGTAGGAAGATTACACAAATGTTGTAGCAGGCGTGCAATGAAACAACTCCTTATTTCTTGTCTCAGATAGCTGTCATTCGGTTCACAGTGTGGTAAATGAAATAAATTCTGCGCATCGCGTGGCCGTCTGGAAAGAAAACAGTGGACATTACGAAAAAGGAGACACCAAATTTCAAATAAAAAACGTAACATAACAAAACCCATGTTATGTTATTGACATGTTATATCTATATGACTTCTTTCTCTCTCGATCTCTAGCACAAACCTTGGACACTGACTTAAGTCTGTTGTATCCTATAATATTCCACCCTCCTTCCGCCGCCGTCTGGACGTATCAGGTCCAAGTTTTACGGAAACCTGTTTCAACCTTACTGTCTTTAATACCTCATAAGACCCATCTCATAATCAAATGACTTTACTGTGTCTACAACGTATTTGAATTACCTAAGGTTTTCAATAGCCAAGAGGTTCTTTAGCAAACTTCCTTTATATGTCAGTGTAAAAGCTTTTTGTGATGAAACTGAAGACATCAGAAAGTTTAATTTCATCTCTTTGATGCCATACGTATTATGAAAATGATAGGAGGTAGTTAGATGAAAGTTCCAGAGTAATTGGTTTTTGCCAAAACAACGTTCTGTTTTCAACCGAATAGTTTCTGTGCAACGTACTTGTTTTTACGTGAAAGGAGGTTTTGGTAATGAATTGTTAGTGGCAATTTAAATGTTAATATTTTAAATTGATTCTTCACATTAGATTTGTTAGTATTGAAATAATCATAACGGAAAAGAATTGTAATTTTTTCTTTTTTATGCTTCTCCCATTATGAAAGTAAAGTAGTGCGTTAAATTGGATTTTTTCATTAACATTGTTTTTGAAGTCGTAGGGTCTCTTAGCAAAAATGTTTTGTACACGTAACGAGATTTGTTTGTGATGGATTAATCATAACGGAATTCACATAAATATAGGAGAGAAAACAGGCAATTTAACAAGTCATAGGCTTGAGTCTTCTCCTTGCTCTATCTCATCCACATCGGGTAAGTCAGATAACTAAGTTTATCGGTATCTGATGAGGTGTATATGTTGTTTTACTAAAGATCCCAACCCTAACTAAATGGATTTGATTTTTATTTTTGAAGGCGTTTTGTGAAAATCAGACACTTACAAAAAAGCCTGAAGTAGCCGATTTAAAAAGCCAGAGCCTGAAAGTTAATAGGGAAAAATAGTCAAGGTGCATTTGATACAAAACTTTTGTGTGAAATTGTTTCTTGAAACTGCCGCTTTAACGAACATCTTACAAGTTAAATTGCCTGCCATAGAATTATCTTAACAAAGTATTGCATTGTCAGCGTGGTATTTCAAAGTTATTAATGCTATTATAAAGGTGCATACTTCGTTTTGTTTTTCAGTTTTTTAAAATCATTCTGTCGTCCAAAAAGACTGAGAGATGAATTTTTTGATTATTGTGGTTGTCAATATCCTGGCTGTGGGTTATGCTACGCCGGACAAGGAGGCAGGGTTGAAAGTTGAGGATCTTGCAATCCGAAAATGGCGTAAAGGTGATCATACTTAAGGGGTCTAAAGGCTACTTCTACCGAGAAATTTTGAAGTTAAGAATTCTGAAATTGCAAGATGCAACTGAAACCAAATAATTTTCTTTGATAACTAGTTGTAACTAACAGTAATGCAAAAAAGTTTATCTATTTCATTACCGCTTGAAACTGAAACGTTCTATTTGGTTTCTTCTATGTTCACCGAAAGACAGGTAAAATATTGGCGTTAAATCTTTATTGGTAACGTTAACGTCTTCCTAGTAAATTCCAATAATTTTGATTTTAGGAAGAACAATCAAAAGAAAATTATTCATGTGAACGGGACAATTCTGTATGAAGATTGACAGTCACTGATATTAAAGACATTCATAAATCTCAATTTGTCTCATAAAATTTTATCACTGACAGTTTTTAACTCAGAATTAGGCATCTCCGCCCAACATCACAGTTCTTTGGCGGCATTTAGCATGAGTTTTTAACAAGACAGGTCTTGTGAAAAATGAGCCATTTGGACGAGGAAAAGAACAAAAATGCACAAGAAACAGTCAGTTTTTTGAAAATGTAATCACCGAAGTTTGTTAAAATGTATCAGAGCAATAAATAGCTGAAGAGCTACTGACGTAGAAGGGTTCTGTCTCCTGAAAGCGTTTTGAAAAATCGATCAAAAAGTACTTGGAAGTAGAGAAGGCATACACCAACCCCCCCTTCTTCCTTCCAACTGTACGTGGAAGGTATAAGACACCAATTTATCATTTTACAGGCAGGCGAAATACCTGTGTGAAACTGAACCAAGGGGCCAAGTGCATAAGAGGTAAACGCTGTAAAGGTGGTTTTGAAGCGTGCCCTGGTAAGTTCTCCTGCGGGAAGAAAAAGAAAGTATGTTGCTGTCCGAAAACGGAGCCAACGCCTAATCCGAAGACTGAGCCGACGACTGCGGCGAAGACCGCGCCAACGACTGCGCCGACGACTGCGCCGACGACTGCGCCGACGACTAACGAGCCGACGACTGGCAAGCCGACGACTGGCGAACCGACGACTGCCGAGCCGACGACTGGCGAACCGACGACTGCCGAGCCGACGACCGGCGAGCCGACGACTGCCGAGTCGACGACTGCCGAGCCGACGACTGCCGAGCCGACGACTGAGTCAATGGCTTTATCAGGTAAATTAAGGCCTGGTTTTATATCACTTTTGATTCTTAAGCTCAGTTATCAAAAATCAAAGTTAAAGGCATCTGAGAGGAATAGCGAATGGTAAAATAAACTAAAATACGAAAACTAGAGGAACGATTTTCAAATTGTCTGATCACGTGATTGACCATATCCCCTACTTTTTGAAGATTAAAACCAACGATTTCCACCACTTGTCTACATGTGCAGCTTCAGTTTCTTTTTACCAAACAATAAATACAGAGGGTATATACGAAATCAGCTTGGAACGTGTTGAAGCTTTACATTTATAAGAACAATTCGTGTTCATGATCAGTAACTGGTGCTAGTCCTCCTCTTATCATTATTTTGAACAAGGAAAAGACGTTAGGCCTAGTCGTATACCTACCAGTTTTACAAGAACACTATTAGTTGGCGTTGTCTGGATCTTTAGAACGAACGGCTTTTGCTCTGTAACTAGCGGGTAGAAATTTTGGGTCGAAGAATTTTTGGAGAAAACAAGGCGAGACTGGTCACGTGATGAAATTGAAAGCAATTCCCTACATTAAATTTCAAGAACTCTTTGTCAGTATAGTCAGTATTAAACTATTAGCCCTAGGATATCTTGAAAACACTTAACTATAGACAAAGTTAACCCCTTTGCATATTGTCTCCTTAACTGGTATGTTTTTTAGCCTTCGCAAAAGTTAAATCAAAGTAAAAACTATGGGAAACTTGTCTAGAAAACAGTCATGCGATGAAATAAAATATTTATCTTATATATAAGTTGAAATGATTTTGCCAAGAAAAAACATGTACCTGTCAAAACACGCTTTGTGTATTCACGAGTTCATTTTCTAAAGATATTTTTCGTTACTCCTTTTTATTATCATACTAACAATGCAGGCTGTTTTCTTGGCGTGCTTTTCGTTTGTAGTTTGTAAAGAAAGATATAGAGCCGCGCGAAAGCTAAAGGGTTTTCTGCCCTCCTTCCTCCGCCCCCACGCCTATCTTTCACCCCAGTTCAGCAGTTATTCAGCTTTCGCGCGCTAACCTGAGATCAGACTCTATTTTAGTTTACTTAGGGGGTGTTTACATGGAGGGAGGAAGATCCTTAAGATCCTGGAAGGTGGATCATCCTAGCGCCATATGTTTTTTGTATTCAGTTTACATGCGGAAGGTTGAATTGTCCCTAGAGCTAGGATCTTCCTAGCTGAGAGGTAGGAAGAACCTAGTACTAGGAAGATCCTAGCACCATGTAAACTGCTTTCGCTAGGAAGATCCTAGTACTAGGGACAAACCACACAAAAATGGCGGCGGGTAGTTCAGTGGGTAATCTTTAATCTTTAATTCCTTTTTTACTGTTAACCACACGGACCGAAATTTCTGCATGTAAACGCAACCAAAAGTTGTTTCGCCTTCTAGAATCTTCCTAATCTGGGATATTCTAACCGTCATGTAAACGGGCCCTTCCTTTACGCGGCTGCCTCTACTTTATGATCCACAAACGAAAACCTCACCCAAAAAACTGCCCGCAACGCAGGCTACTAGTCAGAATTACTCGCGAAGCAAGCGACGTTTGTGCTACATACAATAATATGAATAATGAAAACAAATGACGCAAGTTACAGCAGTGATACAGATTGTATATTTCAGTGCCTTGATAACTTTCCAAGACTACCGGCTATAACAAAGGATGCTAGTCACTGTAAGTGAAAAGTTTACCTGGAACCATTCGAGATAAACGCAAAGTTTGAGATACTTTTGAGTAAACGAGTGTTGGAGGGCGCGGGTCAAAATGAAATATTAGAGACCTTTAGCATCAGGTAAACCGCAAACCGCAGTTACGCGTTTGCAGTTTCGCGTTGCCGAGATTTCAAACTTTAGCAAGGCGTTCAGTTCAGTTCAGTTCATTTTTATTTAGCCAAAAAACAATACAATACAAGAATACATATAGGAATTGTAAGGTTGCACGGGAACCCAGAAGAAACCAGAAGGCTTTATGAAGCCTGGGCTCCCTAATCTAAAAGAGATAAGCAAAATAAAATGATATTCGCGGAGTGATACGTTAAAAATAGGAACCAAACAGAGACTGAGTTAAGTTATGAATTCAGAAACAAGATAGAAAAAAAAATTTAACTCTGGATTTGAACAGAATACTTTCCTTTGTTAGTACGGCAGAAAGGAATATAAAATTGATTTGAACTACGCGTTCACTGTTTAGGGCCGCCATGTTGTTTTCATCAAGTCGAAGTGCATCACTTTAATCGCCAAAACTCAGCAATAATTCATTGATTCGAGATCAAAAATCCAAAAAACACATCGCAAACGGATACAAAAAGCCAGTTCATACCTTTAAACGAGAGGCTGTACAATTTTTTGTGACAAAAAACCTTGCGGTAAATCACTAAATAAATTTTTAGCGAGAAACAACATAAACAAACATGATAATCTTGAGCTACCCAACGATTCCATGAGGCTCATATTTTAAACAAATCTAGATTTTTTCTGATATACTGACTTTTATTTCAACTGTATGAACGTTCCTACATATACGCGTGAGATACTGCATTTACAATAGCCCTTGCACAGAAATTGCGTTGTAACTGCTGTACTCACTAACTCTGTAACACATTCTCTGAGCTGTATCGCTTTTCCGTCATTTCAAAGTCAAGCTCAAAGAAATGTCGCAGCGATGATTGTTATCCACTTCCAATTTCAGCCAGCAGATGGCTTCGTTTAATGATCCTTTTCAACTCGACCAACGGTATTTTTATTTCTCAATGCCCAGAATGTCAGGATGCTCTGGGCATGGAAAGCGGTGAGATCTCAAATGGACAGGTTAGTGCTTCTTCGGAGTGGGATGGCAATCATGCTGCCATCCAGGCAAGACTCTACTTTGAAGCAGCTTCCGGCAATGCTTCCGGCAAAGCAGGATCATGGTCAGCTAAATACAATAACCTGGACCAGTGGCTGCAGATTGATTTGGGCAGTAAGCACGAGGTAACTGGCCTAGCAACGCAAGGCAGAAATGGATACGGCCAGTGGGTAACCAAGTACAAAGTGCAGTACTCAGTCAACGGTGTGAACTTTCAATACTGCATGGAGCAAGGACAGGCCGCAATCAAGGTAAAATCATTTTCTACCCGGACACAAACTCTTCTAACCCAATTAAGGTTCCTTCACATATCCACTATTATGTAATGTAGACGGGCAAAGCCAAACACCAAGCCCACAAACCAACCCAAAGTAAACATCTTTACTCCGGTAATCTCTTATTTCTTATACACTTGTGCAAAACGCTGCTATTGGTAGGTTTCTAACCCTCCCAACTTCTAACCTATACATAGTTGAAGGACCTTTTGCAAACAAAGTGGACGTTTCATTTTTAGGAGTTTGTTGGAAACGCAGACCAGGACACTGTGGTCTACCACAAGCTGAGCCAAGCAATCAAAGCACGCTACATCCGTTTTCGACCAACAGCCTGGCACGGTCACATATCCATGAGAGTGGAGGTGTATGGATGTAAAGGTAACGCTACATTGTCATAAACAAAGTTAGCCTACCACTTTTTGGCAGTTCTCTTTCATGCGCGTCAAAAATTGGCACATGTAGCCACAAAAAACAAAAACAACAAAACAAAAACAAAAAACAAAAAACGCTCATCGCCTGGCGTTGTTATCCTACAAGTTCTCAGTACATGAAAATTTTCTACCCGCTCTTAAAATAGCCCTTGCACAGAAACTGCTTCGTCAGTGGTCTGCTCGCTAGCTCCGTAACAAATTCTTTGAACTATATCGCTTTTCTGTCATTTTAAAGTCTCGCTCAAAGTAATTGGGAAGCGATGATTGTTGTGCAGTTGCAATTTTGCACCACAACACATCTAGCAGGTGGCTTAACTTAATGATCCTTTTGAAGTTGAAAAACGGTCCGTTTTATTTCTCAATTTCCAGAATGTCAGGATGCTCTGGGCATGGAAAGCGGTGAGATCTCAAATGGACAGGTTAGTGCTTCTTCGGAATTGGATGGCAATCATGCTGCCATCCAGGCAAGACTCTACTTTGAAGCAGCTCCCGACAAAGCAGGATCATGGTCAGCTAAATACAATAACCTGGACCAGTGGCTGCAGATTGATTTGGGCAGTAAGCACGAGGTAACTGGCCTAGCAACGCAAGGCAGAAATGGATACGGCCAGTGGGTAACCATGTACAAAATGCAGTATTCTGACGACGGTGTGAACTTTCAATACTACATATACATGGAGCAAGGACAGGCCGTAATCAAGGTAAAATCGTTTTCTACGCGGACACAACTTCTCTTAAACTAATTAACGTTTCTTCACATATCCACTATTATGTAATGTCGACGGGCAAAGCCAAACACCAAGCCCAAGAAACAACCCAAAGTAAACATCTTTACTCCTGTAATCTCCTATTTCTTATGCACTTGTGCAAAACGCTGCTGTTGGTAAGTTTCTAAGCCTCACAACTTCTAACCTATACATAGTTGAAGGACCTTTTGCAAACAAAGTGGACGTTTCATTTTTAGGAGTTTGTTGGAAACGCAGACCAGGACACTGTGGTCTACCACAAGCTGAGCTATGCAATCAAATCACGTTACATCCGTTTTCAACCAACAGCCTGGCACGGTCACATATCCATGAGAGTGGAGGTGTATGGATGTAAAGGTAACACTGCATTTTCATCAACAAAGTTAGCCTACCACTTTTTGGCAGTTCTCTTTCATACGCGTCAAAAATTGGCACATATAGCCAGACCAAAGAAAAACAATAGCAAAAAAAACAGGAAACAAAAAAACGCTCGTCGGCCGGCGTTGAGATCCTACAAGTTCTCAGTACATGAAAATTTTCTACCCGCTCTTAAAATAGCCCTTGCACAGAAACTGCTTCGTCAGTGGTCTACTCGCTATCTCCGTAACAAATTCTTTGAACTATGTCGCTTTTCCGCCATTTCAAAGCCTCGCTCAGAGAAATTCGGAAGCTATGATTGCTGTCCAGTTGCAATTTCGCGCCAAAACACATCTAGCAGATGGCTTCATTTAATGAATCTTTTTGAAGTCGAAAAACGGTCCGTTTTATTTCTCAATTTC